TTTTCAGCTAATTTTGGGATGTAAGAAACAGACAGCTCCGCTCCAGCTAACTTTTAAACGGTGGCGCCAGATGAAGGAACTGGTTGGCGAGGTCGACTAAATGTCCGCAGTTACTTTTTGTTCTGCCTTTCTCTCATGCTGCGGAGCGTGAAAAGCCCCGATCCAGACCGTTGATCCTATAGATAACTTGTGGTGTGAACTGAAGAGAAGCAAACACAAGACATGATCTGGACAGTAATTATTTTTGGAGCAGAAATTTTCCTCCTGCTGAATTTTTCCCTCACTTTTTCTGTGTGACATAACGCTACTGCAATAGCATGGAGAGTTAAAACATTGCTTTAACTCTCCACATGTTTGTCTGTTAAATTCCCAGTGATCTGTATTTTAACCACCACATCGTGGGCTTCTACCATTCTTGCGCCACATATAACAGTTTTGAATTGCTAAAAGCAAACAGGCGGATTTCGCCATCTTTTCTTCCTCGGGCTTTAACAGCCACAGTCAAGCGTATCACTAACGATCAAATCCCTCAACTATTCACTTCTCAGCTGTTACAATATAGCCTCTGTAGAGCAGAATGTGCAGTTAGAGAGCCCAGCAATTATTAACAACGAACGCCATTCATATGCAAAACACGCGAGCCGTAAAAACGTTTAATAAGATCCAAGACCCGTCGTCACAATTAAATGGGACAAATCAGCTCGGAGGAAACGTGTGGACGTCTTTCTCGAGCCTCGGTACCTGGGTCTCTTCTCCGTTGGCAGTTTTCAGACGTTTCAAAATGTCAGACAGAATAAATTGATGCGTCTCGAAGAGAACCAAGAAAGTAAAACTAGCAGCTGGCAGAAAGCACAAACCCCGTGTGTTAAAACAGAAACGACGACCGATTCAGAGTGTCCCTTTTTTTTTTTTTCTGTGCTCATCTGTGAATTTTAACATCTGGTTCCTACTGGAAAATATCGAGTGTGTGTGTGTGTGTGTGTGTGTGTGTGTGTGTGTGTCGCTCCAGCGAAAACACGCAGATGCTACTCACTACATGAGTGTTTTGTTTTTTTTCCCGAAATGCATATTCTAGTGGAGAGCAGGCGTAGCTGGAAAGGTTTCGCAGGGACTGAAGGTTTCTCATTAATTTTTGAATTTGTACAGGGGAGGTCAGAGAGGGTTTTGTTTGACACATGATTCATGGCGAGTGGGATATTAACTATTGCTGGTAAACTCATCCTTGACATTTCTGAAGCCTTCCTGAAGTTTTTTTTTTGAGCTGCTTTCGTAGAACGCGTTGGTCAGAGAGATAAAAGTGGCGTTAAAAGGCTTATTTTAAAGTGGAGTCGCTGATATTCTAGCAAGAGTGAAATCCTGCCTGATTCATCCGTCTGCGTTGCTCTGAAGAGCTTAGTACCAAAAGCAACGGCAATGCTGGGCTTCTTTGTCAGATCTCCAGCTTGAAAACTGGCGCGTCTTGGCTCCGCGTCTGAACCAAACATGTTCTAAGAAGTCAATCAGAAATAATTGTCAGCTTTGTCTGCACACATAGTGCAGGTGTGCCGTCTGTGCCCCTGCTGCTTTCCTCCCAAAAGCCTTCGTCGCAGCTCTGTTGCTCTCTTCGGCACGTCAAACTGATGCAAAATATGCCAGAAATCATGGTTTTTATTCAGACATCTGTAGTGGTAACAACTTGTTTTTCCTCTTTGCTCATTTAAAATGAAGCACGTTAATCTTAAGACGCACCCTTCAGCGTGAGAGTTGTTACTGAGTGAGGAAGAGTTTGTTAGCTCGAAATAAAGCCAGAAATGGAACAACAATTGGGGAAAAAGATATTTAAACATGTCAACCTTTTACTCTCTTAAGCCACCTCATCTTGCTTCCTCCAAAGAGACGCAGGAACAACTCATGTTGGTGACATTTTTTATTCATCTTTTCTATTTCAGAGGAATTTTAGCAGCAGCATATGAACGGGCAACATGTATTGCTCATGTGAGTAGGTTGAAAACCTTCAAATAGAAAGGAGAAATATTAATTGCAGGTAATAAGTTCATTTTAACTTCAGCTAATTAACTAGCTTCACAAGTAAGGATTTTATAATTTACCTTTAAGTTAAATTAACTAAATGAACAAATTATGTTCCAAGCAGTGCAACTAATCTGTTTTCAAACACATGAAAAAAAATTTTTTTTGCATCAAACAGTAAATCTATTTTGGTCTTTTGAGTTCAATCTGAATCGTGTAAAGTGTGAAAATTGTCCGTTGTGTACCAGTGGTGTCTTTGAGGAAGCTTTCAGTTCAGGTTCTTTGTCAGAGGAGAGGTCATTGTGTGAGCACAGGTGAACCAGGTTACCTGCTGAACTTGAGCAATGAAAGGAATGGGTGCGCTTGGTTCTTCTAAGGGCGCATGCCAACTGGGTGGAGATAGCGAACACATTAAAAAGTGTTGGAGTTGCTGATTTAACTTGACAAAAATGAAATTATAAACCATGTTTGTTTTTTTTTACAGAGATAACCTTCATTCAGGTTGGTTTCTACCTGAGTTTTGCATTGGATTAATTGTCCATCAGCACCAAACATGGAATGTTCCTGTTCTTTGGGAACATATGTAAGCATGTATGGCGTGTTCCCATGGTTTGGGAACATACCTAAGCATGTATGGCGTGTTCCCATGGTTTGGGAACATATCTAAGCATGTATGGCGTGTTCCCATGGTTTGGGAACATATCTAAGCATGTATGGCGTGTTCCCATGGTTTGGGAACATATCTAAGCATGTATGGCGTGTTCCCATGGTTTGGGAACATGCCATCAGCTCAGGGGACTTCCAATCAGGTGATTCTCCAAATCAGTTGATGACACCGATTGGTCCGACTTGCATCCGGACAGCATGTTTGCCTCCACCACTCCGGATACTTAATTTTCAAACCTGTAGTAGATCTTCTTACTAGTACAGATAAAAACTGCTTATTACTTTACAGGAAAGTCTGCAAACATCAGTCATTAATCTGCGATTGATGCCTCCCAACACTTTTTTTGTTTTCATACATTTTTATTTGTTGTATCTTATTTCTACTTTGTCCAACTCATTTATTTTACCTCGGTTTAGTTTTGTGTGAGTGTGTCGTCTGTTTGGGGACTTAAAATCTTAAAGTTTGATTATGGTACATGTTTTTGATTTTTTATTTTTTATTTTTTTTGCACTGCGTCTGTCAATATCTTTTAGCGATCAATCAAAAGACCGTTTTTCAGCTGAAGTCCTCGCCCAAACGCCACGGGAAACGCAGTTGTCGTTTCGAACACGCTGAGCTGATTACAATGGACGCTGCCTGTAAGTAATAGGATCAGCAGCCGGTGAGTGTGCATGGCTACGGCTTGGGTGGATTCTCAGCTGTTATTATTGGGCTTGTTAAGTTACAGAAAGCCTTCGTGACGGGAAAAGACAGATTTGTTGTGAGTGGCGGTTCACTTTTGCAGAATGGAGAAAACGTATATAGGCCGTTCTTCGATCCCTAAACTCCTCTAAAGCTCCTTCGTTAGGAGATGACGTAAAGCCGGGTCTGGGAGAGAGCGGCGGCGCATGGAGCTGCTCTCCACCAGGATTACTGGGATATTATAGGTCGACTCCTTGGGGCATTTTGGTTTAATTAAAGATGGTACTCATTAAGTCATCAGCGTTCCACCTACATTATACTCGCCTTTTCATTTCAACTCATTATTGTTCTGCTGGAGATTTGGTGCGATATAAATTAATAAGAGTGGTTTATGGAGTGTGATGGATTCGCTAATAAAAAAAAAAAAAAACCCTGCTCAGACCTGGACTTTATTACGGGAGAGCGGCAGGAAGGAAAGATGTGATTTGGAAAGAAAAAAATAAAAGCCGGAAGAAGTTCTGGGTGTGGACAGAACCGTCATGCACAAACCATCGCTCCTCTGGCTGTGATAGAAGAGGTTGAGACTGAAATTATTTATTTATTTATTTATTTATTTATTTATTTATTGCCTAGATGTGCAGGTGGAAGCAAACGGTGGAAATCACACCGAACGCCACATGAGCGCTTTTCATTTCATGAAATCCGTTTGGTACCTACGAATAAACAATTTCACACCCGTGTACTTAAAAGCATCGTGTATCAGTTTGTTGTTAAATCTTACAGGAAATTACTTATTTTAATTGCACATTATTTTCTGGAAAAAGTTGTAAAACAGCCAATTTTTCAGTATACTTTGGTTCTGATCCAGGACCCGACGATAATGACTCATTTGAATTAGCTTTTTTTTGGGGCCGGATACGCTCCTAAACTAAGCAGAGTGTTTGCTCTTGAAGCCCGGAGTTGGATCACCCTGAACCTGACAGGTGGCGACTGGAAGCAGGTCTGGTGTGTCACCTGGAAGACGTCCTAGAGAAAACATCAGGTCCAAAATGACCAAAACGAGAGAGGTATGGAAGTGAATGTGTTGGAGATGCTACTCTTCTGCTTGGACAGGGAAGCAGGAGATAAAGTAAAAAAAAAAAAAAAAAAAAGAAACTTTGAAAAAACGCTTCACCTTCTCCTTGGAAATTAAAACACTATATACACGATCAGAGGGTTTAGATCAAAACATATTCTAATGAAAAAACTCTTGATTTTTCTTTTTTCTTTTTTTTATGAAGCATTTCCTCACCACGAGCTCCATCCTGTGAAAACATTACATAAACAAAAAGGCAACGATAATCAAATATTGATTAACGCCGGCGGGAAAATCGTTGATCTAAGATATTCTCAGCGACGTACAAAAATCATCCTAAACAAACTGACCAATCTCTACCCAGAATATGTGAATAAATAGATGCCGTTTGTTCACATGATGGTTGTTCAGTCTGCACGGCCTTGAAACAGAAAGCTGCGCTGTGAGAATGTGGCGTCACTTCCCATCAAACCAAAGACTAAAACTCCAGATTTCTGTCCTCGTTGATAATTGTTACATGCTTCACTTTTGTGACTCCACCTTTGTCTTTTCTGTCCCGCCCCCCTGCAGGGCAGTCGTTGGACACAGAGAGCCGCTGCCTGATGACAGCAAAGACAACATTACCATTTTCACCCGGATCCTCGACAGGCTGTTGGATGGGTACGACAACAGGCTACGTCCCGGGCTCGGAGGTAAGCGATGATATTTGTTCGATATATCGCACGCAGGCGGTGTTTTCAGGCTCGATGTTGATGAGCATGAAGATAAATCTTGTTGCTCGCCAGGGTGATGCACATTCATGTACGTTAGTTTGTGGCGTCTGAGATGTTACTCTTCATTTATCGCTCTCCTAAAGAATATTAGCGATGTATGTAAATGCACTGTGGGGTGTTTTAAAAGTTGCTCTTCTTCACCGGGTCTTTTTTTTTCGGCATTTGGACTAAAAATGTCAAGTCAAATGGACTCGTGGGGCAAAAAGGAAAGGAATATTTCAAGTAAAAATGTATTTAAAAACACCCTCGTATTGTTTTATCTATTCAACAATGTAGTAGTTTAAAGCTACGACCAACAATTATTTTAGTAATCAATTAATCTATTTTTTTTAATGATTAATAAATTTATTGGTTAAAAACAAACCTGGCAGATTCTGCCGATTTTTAAATTAAATTAAATTAAATTAGAAAAACATTATATGACACATGTAATTCCTTTTAAAAATATGAAATTAAATGCAATGTGTGTACATTTTTGGTCTAACAGTATTTGAGCTGTTCTTTCAGGAAATGGCCTTTTGTTGGAGAATCTACGCTCAAGTTAATGATTAAATCGACTACTAAATTTGCTGACAATGACTTCAATAATTGATTAATCAGAATTAATTTGATAATTTCAACCCTAAATAGTTTTACTAAACAAACAAAGTAGTTAGAATTTTTTTGTAGAAAGAGATGTGTAAACTACTGTAGAGCAAACACAAAGAGTGTTGTGGGTTTGTCCTAGTGACATAAATATTTTTCAGGTGTTTATTAAAAGAAAATGGCTAAATAAATAAATAAATAAAAAGAAGTCAGTTCGTTCTTGCAAAAGAATGCAAAACTATGTGGTTACTTTGCAAATATAAAAGTTTCCATCACCATCAACCTCCAGGGCTAAGTTTCAAAATCAGGGGATGGACAAAATCAGTCCGGGGTCGGCAAATGGCCCCTCGGCCACACTTTGGTCACCCGTGATTTAGATGGTTTCATGCATTTCAAACTGATTCATCATAATTTAATTCCATTCATTTTAGTTAAAAGATAGAAATAAAAAAAGAAAGAAAATCAGTTGCAGTGGCAACAGGGGAGGAAAACACAGTTGGACTCTCAAGGTCAGCTTCATGTGAACACCGATGTCCTTAAAACAAGAGGAAGTAAGTTGAGGTTGGCGTGTTGCTCTCGCTCGGACGCAGTCAGCAGATACTGCAGCCGAGCTTGGCAAAGCTTATGAAGGTTATATAGGTTTGAAGGTACTTTAAAGCCTCAGGCGGCTTCAACGTGATCTCCCGTGCTGCACACAGGCACACGCAGAGTCCAAACGGGACTTTCAATTTTCACCACACCGTCTGTCTGTGTTACAGCAGGAAAAACTTCTATGACGCATCTATTTTTATGTCCCTGGAAACATGTGTTCATTTGTGCCTGTTTATAGCTCTGTAGTGTGATTGTTTACACAAATCCCAAAAGAAATGGTCACAACCCTCTTTGTAACTTTTCATGAATTGTTTAAAAGAATGAGGCCGCTCCGAAATCCAGTTTAGCACTCATGGATTTCACATGGTGAGCGTTACAGCCGCGTTTTTAGGCTCACTGCTCAACTGGTAAATTAAGCAAATCAAACTAGCGTAGTAAAAATCAGACAGCGTAAGATCTAAAATAACAATATAATATTGTAATCAAATAATATGAAATAAGTCTTTATGAATAAAAATCAGAAAGGTTGACAGTTCTGGCCTGGCGTTGGCGTGCTTTGCAAAATTTTGCGTGACTCTTGTTTCTTATTCTCTGGTAGGTTTTGCAGTATTGTGTAATATTCACAGTATTGCCACAGTTTAAAAAAAAATGCAATGAAATCAGCAGAACTTGCATCAAAGCATTTCTGATTCTGGATCCAATTTTTTTTGGAAGAAGGAAAATTTGGCTCGGCCTAAAAAGACAACAAAATGGCACTGGCATGAAAGCGATGTAATAAACTACGACGACGAGCAACGCTGGTGCACTGAGTGCTGCATTTTGTTGTCTAATCTTTGTAAGTTGTGTTGTTTGAAGGCAATGTTTTTACTTATTTAGTTTTTCATATTGTAAATGTTCTGGCACAGTTGCAGCCCAATGCAAACAAAATGTGTCGCCTTGACCATGGACATTTGACCATGTGTGTGTGTTTGAGAGCTAAGCAACGTTTGATTCATTTTAGATGGAGTATTGAAATTTATTTATTTTTTTATTTTTTTTGAATTAGTGCACAATACTTTGTATTAGGAAATCATATTATTATCGATTAGTTTTTGGTTGTTTTTTTTTTATGTTTTGCTGTTTTTTTCCCCCCTTTTATGACACCTTTAACATTTGTTTATACTGCCTAAGCTGCGGGTCGACCATGGTATGGCATGCATTTGTACACATTCTCAAATGTGGACTTTAACTAGATCTTTCTAAAACATAAATATGCTTTGCTCTAAACCCGTTCCCTTTGAGCTCTGGTCGTCTTACTAAGTCTGGACTCTTAATTTTTCAGTATCATCCTATATTTTGTTCTCACTGACCCAGCTAAAGAAGAACAACCAGCACAGCATGATGCTGCCACTACTATGTTTCCCGTCGGTATGGCGTACAGAGGGTGATGCTCGGTGTTAGTTTTCCCCCCAAACGCAGCATTTTTGATTGTACGTTGAAACGCTTAACTTCTGTCTTCCATAAAGATCCATTTAATTTTTGGTTGTACCACAACAACAACGACAAAAATACAGTTTCTCATCTTGTTTTTTTTTTTTTTTGCTTCCCATCAATCTGAAGCGTCTCCCTCTATCCGGCAGAGACGCCTCGCCGGCCCGTGATGAGGTCAGGCCACTCTCTGCGCGGCTCCACTGTGGAAATTTATTTCCCTCTGGGTGAAAGTCTTTCTTCAGTCGCGCCCAAATGGCAAATAAGCATATATGTCAGTGAAAATCCCACTAATTGAGGCCATTTGATCCAAATATTCATCCCTCCGGGGACAACATACTGCATAACAGTGAGTCCACATGCTCATCAAGCGGGCTTCATTATTTCTCGACCAGCCAGCTGGAATGTCCATTTCTGCTCGGCTGCTTGTTACTCAAGCCTGTCTGGGGGGGTTTACCGGCACCAGGCTGCATAACCTGGTCTCTGTGAACGTGCAGGTCGTTACCATTTCTCACTAGAATTGCGTGAATGATTTGTTCTCACCTGATGTCTTTTTTTTTTTTTTTTTTTTGGAAATAAGCAGAGTTAATGGAACAAATCTATAAATGTTAAGGCTGATTTTGTTTTTTCCTTCTTATTAAAGTCATTTTATTCTTCGGTCTGGAGCCACTTTTGTTGGCACCCATGGGGAAAACCTAAAAGTAAAAAAAAAAAAAAAGGAAATTCAACCTTTACGTTTAATACATTTATTCACTGGATTTTCTAGAATTAAAATAAAGTATTACTTTAAGGAACATATTTTTGTTTTGGTATTTATTCCACAGTACATTATAATCTCACTGGCAGAAAACAATCATTTCTTTTTCCCCGCTAAATAATTGTGCTTATATCAAAAACTGCTAATTTTTACATATCCTTACCACGTGTGATTGAATATTTATTCGTGCTTCGTGTCTTAAGGGACGTTGATACTTAGAAACACTCATGCACGCAGTGTCCAATGAAGAACACTAAAACAGATTTTCAAACTAAAATAGCGTGAATGAATCTACAAGTGACATTTCTCTGTGAGGACCCCGACGCATAATTTAAATGAGCTTTTGTCTGAAACAAAAGAAAGAATATCTACAGGTTAGTTTAGCTGCTGTCTGTCCAGAGTTTTTGTCTGTCGTAGGTTCTTCGAAATAAAACCAGAAAACGCAATCTCATTTTGTTCTCGGGAGCGTCTGCCTCTGTTGTTCAGCCGCCTGGCCCCGGCACAAACAGAAAGAGGGCGACTTGTTCTGCTACTGCCTAAACCTGCCATGCAAACTGCTGACTTTGTGTTGCGATAATCACATATTTGGAAGAGCCATTTGTGTTGCAGAAATGATTAATGTGGCGGTGGATCTTTCCTCACAGTGGGGCCCTTTGCTAAAGGATTAGAGACTTACCTGTGGGTGGTCGCTCAGATCTGGGACACAGCGAGAGCTGAGGATCCATTCACTTCTGGAGAAAGGGTTCATCTATCTCTAGTTGTTGCTGCTCCACTGGGAACAGCAATTTGTCTCGCCAGTGGCCCAAGAGCCTGCTTGGCATGATTGCCCCAGAGGAGCTGATTCAGCCCACACCGAAGAGGGCGACTTTTTTGACTGTCGTGATTCTTATCGCATGCCCTACTTAACGCTGCGTTTAGAGGAATTATTAAATGTTCGGGGGGGGAAAGTCCTTCGCTGCTGGGTCATTTGCAGCGGGTATAAAATTCTCCCTGTTAAAATGTTCTTGCGCTGTAAAATAGAAAGCCTTGGCAAATCATTTCGAAACCGTTTCGATCTTTGGCGCAACGTCTAAAAAAAAAACAAAAAACGACCAAATCTGTCAGAGGGGACGAAGAAACGGCAGCAGAAGCCCGGTTGCGTAAGAGTTCACACCTTCGGACTAATTATTTGTGAGAACTAATTCTCGTTTAATTCAGTCATTCATTAAGCGAGGGAGAAGTCTGTTAACATCCCACGTACTGAATACCTTTCAGAAAATATGTGAGAGCGTCTGATCTCCACAGACATTCAGTCAGATTTAATTCTGAGCTGAGCTTTTCTTTTGGTGATGAATCTCTTTACATAGATTTGGAGTCAGGGTGATGACAATTAAAAATAATTAAAATTTCAGCAGTTTTTTTTTTTTTTAATTTAGAGACATGAAAGTTTTGAGGCAAAACTGAATTATGTTTAAATCTGCTAAAGATTTAGTCAATTTTAGCAAATACATTAGTGCCATCCATTGAAATTCATCAGACCACAACGCCACCATCACATAAATTCACTATACTTTGCAGAAGCATTCATACACCTAGAACGTTTTCATGTTTGTAATACTCAACGGATCATACTGGGACTGGAGGCTTTTTGTTGCTGCGATGAAGTAACACGCAAAGAAAAGTGTAACAGGGAAGTGGATGCAACAAAATATTTATCTTTGAAAATCCTTTCACAACGAATAAATGGGAACTCCTTGCAGAAAGGCCACTGTGCCACTTTAACACGAACCCGATAAAATAAGTGAAAAATGTCGTGTATTAACACAACATGCAAAATTGCTGTTATGTCTTTAAAAAAAAAATTTAAAAAGTGACTCAAGACAGAGAAAAAGTTCTCCAGTCAGAACAACATGAGTGAAAAGATGTGCAAAAAGCTGTTTGAACAAAGAATACGCTCTGACACAAGCCAGACGTCGAGCAGCTGCATTCGCTTCCTGAATCACCAGTCCCTTAGGTACTGCTAAATGTTTTTGGGGCAAGCTAGCTCAAATTAATTTGGGTCAAGAGGGATGTCTTCTTTCCAAAGATGTCAACTGCAGCGTAGCCCAGAGCGGGTTGTTTTTTTTTTTGTTGTTTTTTTTATGCTTTGGTGGATGAGCTTCAGTCACACAAATGGTCGTTTTACTCAACAGCAGCCTGAGAAGTCGCTCAAAGCAACATCTTGCATCTGAATTGAGGTCAGGGTATACATATATATTTATATATATATATATATATATATATATATATATATATATATATATATATATATATATATATATATATATATATATAAAAACCCTTTTCTGCCAAGTCTTGGGATTGTTATAACCAATGCTGTTTAGCACCACTGGAGGATACGTTCGAGCAAATCTGCGATACTATGAAGCCAACATTATGTTCCGAAACTTGCAGAGTGTAGCTTAACAAGAAAGATATGGATCGGACAAGATTAGGAACAAAGACACTTTGAATCCATGGATTAAGCTGCAGAGAAATACCCAAAGTATTCACAGAGCATACTTACAGTGATAACTCAGTAGGCTTCGCACAGCCTTCCTCTGCCTTTCTGCACCGTGAGCCAATATTACATACATAAGTCAAAGTCTGCTAAGGCCCCAGATCATTGCTTAAAAATAGCGCGATGCTTTTAAGTGCTAAACATATTTATAGAGATCTCTGGATCTCCACACTCTTGTTTCCAGCACCAAAAGAAGCAAAGAGCAAAACTCACGTCTTAGGCTGAGGATCAACCAGGATGCAGTCAGACACAAACGCTCATCAATCGTTCTGAGAAACCAGGAAGTAAACATGGTGGGTCCAGTTGTCTTGGAGAGATTAAGGCGATTTTTTTTTCTCACAGACTTTTGTCTGTAACTTCACCAACAGACATGTAAAAGCCTGTGAAATATCTTTGTAATGTTAATGATCTGTTCTTTTATTTTGAAATAGAAGCTATTTGAAAGACCCTTTTTGTTGGTTTCAAGGTTTTGAGACCCTTATTACTTCAGATAAATTATACGTTAATCCTATAGAAATGATTTGAGAGTTTGTTTTTGCCGACTATCTGAGGCATTGCAATGATTTGTGAAGATTACAACATGACCAGTTGTTTCATTTACGGTAAACTCTTTGCTTTTGTCAGAATATAGTATTATCAGGCTCTCCATAGTGCCATTGCTGACTTAAATATTGTTCCGGCGTTTTAGCAGCAAACTCATTTTCAGCACGCAGTGAACGAAAACAATACATTCATTCAAATAAATATTCAAATAGCTATTTTTGCCAGCTTTAGGCAAACTTAACCAGAGCTGGACATGATTCATTCGTGCTGCGAGGAATCTTTATTTTTAAAACCTGAACGTCTGTTTTCTTCTCTTTTCTCAGAGAGCGTGACAGAAGTGAGGACAAACATCTATGTGACGAGTTTTGGGCCGGTGTCGGACACAGACATGGTGAGTGTTTCATTCTTCTTCTTTCAACTGTAAATGGACAAATTAAAGGAAATTCCCCATTTAGCATGTATGGAAAAGCATGTTTCTAAAACATGCTAATGCAGTGAAGTTTAAGGGTGTTTTCCCATCTCATAGTCCAGAAGATTTTATTTAATAGGGGACCAAATTTGCAACATTTGTTACATTTTCAGCTGGTGCTGTTCGTTTTCACACAGCATTGTGTCAAACGATCCAGACCGTTTGAAAAACCTGTTCCTCTCCTCGCCTGTGGTGGCGCTGCAACAAGAACCCCTGAAGGAAATGACAAAACAAAAAAAAAACCTCTGAAGAAGAACACTGAACGCAGCTTAGTTCTTCACAAAATGTAAATAAAAGTGGAGTGGCGTTAGATTTTAGCGGTTGTAGGATTTCGTTTCTGACTCTATCGCTAGACTCACATGTTTGTTTAGGCTGCATTTACCCAGAATGCCACATGTTACAGTTTGCTTTCCTGCTTTCAGTTCAGTTGAACCGAACAGAGACCTGAGATTTAAGCCGGACCAGAGTTCCCTTCTTTGGTCTGCATCGCAGTGCGATTGCACATTCGCACCTTCCCAAACGAGACGGACTTTCTAGACCAACGAACTAAGAGTTTGATTAAAGCGGACCTGACGTTTGACACCAAGTTCCACATAAAATAAAATAAAAAACCTTTCCCCTTCTTTTGCCATTTCTTTTTTTTTTTTCTTCTAATCTTTAAATGATGACAGTTGTGCTGCTGCATGTGTAATAGAGTCAAAAGCTCTGTTCAAGCCAGCGCGGATGACCTCTGTTTAATCTTGGGACCTCCTGCAGCTTTTGACACATTTGATCATGCAGCTCTAATTGCCCACTGAGGGCTTCAGGTTGTTTCTTTTGCCTGCTTCTGAGCTGCTCTGTCAGCCTGAGTGACACAGCGAGATAGGAGCATTGTGGTTTCACTGCACAGCTCGTTCATGTACAATGGTTCAACTCTTGGTTTCCTTGGAGCAGGTCATGTTCACGCTGTCAGATTGTGATTTCCACGAGCCAGGAAGGATCTCCTGAGGATCTCGCTGGCTTATGTTAACACCACCGTGGCTGTCGTTTTGTGTTATCGTTAAAATTGACCACATTTGCTTTATGCCAGCTTACGTAACGTTATGCTAGGGCAAGGTTGTTAAAAAATCTAGCTTAGCTGAGCTTCGCCACACTGAGTCAGTGCATCTCTCTTACTCCATTCTGCGGATGCTTACGTCATGCAGCCAGGTAATCTTCATTTCAGGACATCCACACCAGGTCGAGACCCCGTCTTCACTAATAGGCATGTTTCACAAAATGGAGACCTTCTGCTCTGTTTCCATTTCTCGTCCACACAAAGAGCTTTTCCACGCTGGGATTTGTAAAAATGCTTTCCAGAATTAAATTTTGTTTGTCTTTTTTTAAGCAGCATTTGTAGACTGGAGATAAGGCGATTATTAAAAATAATAACACAGAGGACCAATTTGCGCGTACACACTGTTGTTCTCCGTGCTGGAGAGCACAACAGCAGCAGAGGCGTTTTAATGGGTTACTCAACATCTGCCTCACTTCCTCCCAACCAAAGACTGTAAAGACTGGGAGAACAGAAGCAAATAAAACACGGCTGTAGTTGTAGGAGGCACTCGATTCTTCTTTATGCTTTGTGTTTGAATAGTGCAGACCGAGACAGAGGATTGGAACAATGACACATTACCATCAACTTCATTTGTTACAATGTTTGATTAGCAACTCATCCAGGTCTCAGTCACAATTCAGAGACACATACGTACAGAAAATGTTACTCTCATGCTGCATTATGCAGATTCTCTGTCTGCGCCAATGAAGATTTACCCACCTCCACACTTGGCTTTTGAACAGATGGCAAAATAATCTGTTTGATAATAAAAATCCTAATTCCCAGAATGCTTTTGTGGCCTCATGGTAACGTCACTGAATCCTACACACTCAATTTCAGTAAACAGTCACTATACGAAATATGAGTTGATAAAAAACATGCTTTAAGAACACGGCCAGAAACGTAGACAACTAAAAACAGTGGGGGGGGTAAAAGCTGTTGAAAAACAAAATGAAAGTGCAATGCAGCAAAACACATGATTTGACTTTTCAAAGAATTATGTTCAATTACTCAAAAAAAATGTCTCTTGCAGATTTCCTTATTTTTTATTTTACCTAAACTGTTAGATTTTTTCTGTGGAATTTCGTTCCTGAATGTGTCTTATAAATCTCTCTCTCTCTCAGGGCTGAGTTTTGAACAAATTATCTGGCTGGAGCATCTGTCCAGAATCAGGCAGCTCGTTGGAGTACACAACTTTACGACATCTTATTTATTCTACGTACGACCTGCCACTGGATAACACTTAATCTGACAGGAAGCATTCCTTGCTGCTGTGATGTAGCACTTGGTGCACTTCTTACCTGTATTCATGTATTAAATACAAACCATCTGTAAACTAAGCAATGATTGGTTGTAGCTTTTAATATTTGCACATGACCAAGACAACAACTGGCATATTATTAGCAAATAACGTAGCTATTTATTACCGTATCTGAGGAATTTATTTATGTGGAAATCTGCAGACACTCTAGTTCTATCTTTTGGGATTCTCTCCTATAATAAAAAAAAAAAATACTCTCTCAGCTTATAATAATTTGGTTTTATTTATTCCCTCCTGAAAAATAACACTCTAAAAAGACATTTGCAATCCTCCTGCAGCATTTTTTGGCCACATCATACACATTCCTTACAGAAAAAAAGTAAAGAACATCTAACTTGAAGTGAAACGGTGCTTCATCCAGGAGTGTTGTGTCATATTTTTATCTGTCCTCATTACAGGAATCCTCTGTTCGAGCCGCTGTGAAGACTCGATATGTGAACCACTCTATTCCCAACTTGCTTTGTGAGAGGATGTTGGCTCACTTGCGTTATTTTAATAGACAGTCCTTTATCTTTTTCAGGACATATCACCTTTGGGGTCTCTCAAAGCTCAGTTATGGATCTAGAGTTTTTTATTTATTTTTTTTTTCCACATGCTTCACTTGGCAGGAACATGAATCAAGTGGAAGCAGCTTGGGACACAGAGTCTCACTTGTGATAATGTTTTGGCCAGATAAAAAAGATAGCGAGGTCGGTGCAGGTACATCCTGTCGGTCGTCAAAGGCAAAACGAGAGCTGCACTCAAACACACGCGCACACACACAACGTCTGCTTTGTGATGTTTTTTTTATAAAGTAGGTGTTAAGGTGTCATTTAATCCCATGTGTGCCAAACTAACTTTAGATTTAGTATCATATTTGTCTGTTATCGTTCCTTATAAATACCCTGCAATATATATCAGTTTATGTATTCAAAAAAATATATTTTTTGTGAAAATCGTTTTGAAGATTTTCACACACTTTTACATTTTGTGCAACTTTCCAAGAAACATTTTACCAAGTTAATTAATGGCTGTGTATACGTTGATATTTTTGAAAATCCCACCACAAATTGTGCACATTGTTATATTTAAAATCATTTATCATAATTTCATCATAATTACTCCACTCTGGGAAAACAACAGCTCAGACGCGTCGTGTATTGATGCTCCTGGTCATGATGCAATCAAGAAAAACACACAAGAATCGAACAAATAAGGAAATGTTTTTCTCTTTGCTCTTGCTCTCTAACAATTCCTCCCACTGAATTTGTTTTTATTTTTCCTTTCTAGCAGTTAAATCCGAGGCTGTTGCATGGGATTGCATGACGTCTTGGGTCAGTTAAATAAGGGAAGGTAAGGCGAAGTCGGTGGTTATGCACTAAAAGTAGCACCAAAAAGTAGGTCTTGTCCTCAGACTTGAAGAGACTTGAAACACTGACATCAGTAACTGTCTACAAACCAGTTGGTCTCCTTCTGCATAAGAGTTTTGCAGAGATTAATTTAAAAAGACTGCCGCACGAGTTGGATCACGTTTATTGGTACATATCGGGGGGAGGGGGGGGGGAATAAAATCCAATGTGCCTAGGGGAAAAACCTCCTACTCAGAGCATATCTACAGTGGGTCGGGGACGGGGCATGTTAATGTGTTTTCTAGATCAGGCTACATGAACGTGGACCGGTGCAGCGCCTGAGTAGGAAGCGGCACAGATTGCCGCTCTGCAAAGGCTTTTTGTCGATCAGCTGAACGGAGAGAGAAAATGGACAATCCAAACTGTATTTCAGAGGACGATCGGAGGCTTTTAGAAAGAGTGCGTGCATATGTTATGCAAATTCGTTGCAATTCTGATTCGTGAAGGTACACTGAAATTAAGCGCAGCCGCAGTGTCAGAGGAGGGAAAGCGAGACAATTCGCAATATGGTGCAACGTGTTGTAGACAACAGAAGAGAGTCAGAGGAAAACCAGAGTCGAAAAAGGCGCGCACATCAGATTTTAATGGTGATCCTTTCAGGATTATTCATTGTAGCCCGAAGGATGGAGCTGGGGGATGTTCGCGACCCGGGAGTTATGCTGCTAGCTTGGCCTTTAAAAATCTGCAGCACTGGAAGAGAACATTAAAGCTGAGATGTTCCTAGACAGTGCACACTCTATACCCTCGGCGTGTCAAACTTTTATGTTGTATACATCCAGTGGTTCAATTACCCCTCACTGTAACATCAAGTGTCCCAGAAATGTCTGCTCTTCTCTCGGCCCTGGGGCCTCTCATCGAGTCTTCACTCTGGCTTCAATATACCACGTCTTCCTTTAGTGTCCCATATTGCAAACAGAAGCTGCGTTTTACTATTTGGCTTTCTTGGACAAAAACGTCCACATTTTTACACCTACATCTCACTCTTTGGTAAAGAAAAAAAAAAAAAAAAAAGCTGAACGTGTTTCTCTTCATCGTCTGCAAGCCTGCAGAGTCGCGTCTCATTCGCATGCGTGCAGCGTCGCAGCGCATGCACCTGTCTCGCGGTGGGCTTTGACAGGCCCTCGCTGATATGAAGCGG